CACATACTATGGTGATAAGATTTATTAGTCTAAGTCGTATGTTTGATAGGATAAGTTTCTTTGTATGTGATTACCTTACTCAGGAAGAGAGGGGGGAATAGTTGTAGGATAAGCATCCTAGCACACAAAGCATATGTCCCTATTGTCCCATTTGTATCCTAGCCTAGCTTTGCAATGTATAAGTGTTATATTGGAAGTTAGTGAAGTTGGATCATCATTGTGATCTACTGTTGAGTCAGTCTAACGACTTCTCTATAAAGCTCAACTTCGAAGACGGTCTGATGTATCCAGGCGATGTGAAGAATAGTGAATCTTCGACATTGTCAGTCTACTTATGAGATTGATGATGAGCTATTTCTACCTCCTGGTGATAATCTGGTTTGTGACGAGGACGTTATGGCCACGATGGATGAGAGTGATACTGTTCTTGGCGTTTCTACCATTGTTGATAGTGATGTTGATGATGATGATGATGATGATGATGATGATGATGATGATGATGATGGGAATGATAGAGTCCTTAAAGCTAGTAATGTAAAATGTAAAGATTCTATTGATTTTGATACGATACCATTATCCTTACCAGATAAACCTGTGTTCGCTGTTTCTAATGATCCTATCACTTATATTGTATGCCAGAGTGAATGGTATCGTATTACTACCAATGAAACCGGTACTGGTGATCATTATTTTGCTGCTGATATTTGTATTCAATTCTGTGAGTGGATGGATCGATTGTCATTTAGAGCTGTTCCTCGTATTTATTTGAAATGGCTTCATGCCGATAATGTCGCGGAGTCAGAGGGTGTTAGACAGATTGAATATTTCACTAGTAGTGGTAAGTTAGTTCAAAATAGTGACCATTGTTATTGTAGGATAAGTATCCTAGCACACAAAGTATATCTGTCCCTATTGTGCCATTCGTATCCTAGCCTAGCTTTGCAATGTATAAGTGTTATATTAGTAGTGAGTGAAGTTGGATCATCATTGTGATCTACTGTTGAGTTAGTCTAACGACTTCTCTATAACTTGGTAGCAGCTCCAACTATAACTTGGTTCCGCTGTTCTTGGAAGATAAAGTGCAGGTTGCTTATGATCATATTCCGCTGTCTGATCGTACTGACTTGAATAAGGTGAAGGCTTCTCTCATCCACAGCCTCCTGACTCAAGACCCCTTTGAGGCCTTTAACTCTAGAGTCATGAATGATGACGAGTCGTATCTTGATTTCAGTTATGATCTCAAACAGCTTGCCCAGAAGATGTTATCTGTTGGTGGGAGTTCGGTGGTACCAGATGTGGCTGATGCTCTTGCACGAAGCCAATTCCTTCGTGGTATTGATGTTGAAATGGCGGAAAAACTGAGAATGCTTAAATTACAGACGTTGGATGAGATGGTAGAGAGAGCTAAAACTATAAGCCGTTGGAAGGAGATATCTGATCAACGAAAGCAGGAGCTGAGTTTTTATGCTGGTTACTATTCGGCTCACTATGAGGAAAAGGGTAAAGGCAAGGGCAACTACAACGTCAAAGGCGGCTATGAGAGCAAGGGTGTCTATTTGCAAAAGGATCCCTATTGG